CTTGAAACGGGCCACCAGGTTCAGCGGGTATCTGCAGCAGAAATAAAAAAAAAAAAAAAAGAAACGGGTTCAAATGGCTCTTTAATGCCGCCACAAATGTAAAATGTCCCTCCTCACTTGCCGTATTGTGACGCAACAGTGACAGTCTAAACTCAAAATGGAGGGAAAACGTTGCCTTGTGGCTGAAAACTGCGAATGATTGTCACCAAAATTTATTTTGACATCTCCACTTATGCTGACACCAACCTCTGAATATATTACAATGATTGCCCAAGTATTGCGGATTTTATGGGCATGAGGTTTTTCTTTCCATAGAGGTGCTCACTACATAGCTTATTCAACACAATAAATCTTTATTTACGTAGCGCATCCGCAACAGCTGAACCTTCAACAATGTGTTTTACATTGTCACTGAGAAAAAAGCTTTGTCCATAAAATACAAAATATGTACTTTTCGAGGTTGATGTTGGGCATAAGTAGGGATGTGCAGAAGCCGTTTGGTGAAGACTGACTGCAGTTCTCCGATATATTAAGTGACGTACGCTTTTTTTTCGCTTATGTTGAGTTTTAGTTCTGCTGCCCAAGCTGCCAGTCAACTGCAGTGTCCGCAGCTCTCTTACTCACAAATATCTACTTATTTTACAGACATGTCTTGCCACACTACACGGCAGCACACAAAATAACTTGTAGATTTCTTTTGAAAAACGTGCAGGACTCCCGCACACCAACATTAATCGGATATGAGCCTGCGCACCTAACATTATTTTCAATGAGGCCATGATTGGCTGTTGCCAATCAGGCTGGCCCTCAAACAAAATCACACCAGTTTCTTGATATTTTTTTATGACTTAGTGATTAGCAACTCAACATTGGTATTTCACAACACAAAAATAGCTACCATGATTAAAATCTTCTTCTTCTTCTTCTTATTATTATTATGATTTTTATGATGATAAAAACTTTATTTTTAAAGATCAATTTCTCAAATGGGCGGCATAAGCTTCTCTGTGGGTGGGCATGGCCCCCTATGGCCTCCCCATGGCAATTGGTCTTTGTCTAGATGGCACACATGGCTGGAATTAAAAATGAGGATGCTATGACATTTTCTTTTCAGTGAGGCTTCATACTTTAAATGTATTTTTAATTTTTTTAAATTTATTTCAAAGGCTTCATACTTTAAATTTATTATTACTGTATTGTTATTGACGGCCCGGTGGACGAGTGGTTAGTGCGTCGACCTCACAGAGCAGAGGTACCGGTTTCGATTCCAGCTCCGGCCTTCCTGTGTGGAGTTTGCTTGAATGTTCTCCACGTGCCTGTGTGGATTTTCTCTGGGTACTCCCACATTTAGAAAAAAAAAACAAACATGCATGACAGGCTGATTGAACACTCAAAATTGATGGTTGTTCGTCTCTGTGCCCTGCAATTGGCTGGCAACCGGTTCAGGGTGTCCCCCTCTCCTACTGCCCGAAGACAGCTGGAATAGGCTCCAGCACAACCTGCGACCCTTGTGAGGATAAAGCGGATCAGAAAATGGATGGATGGATGGATTATTGTTATTCTCATTTTCTTTATGATTATTAGTCTGGCTTTACTAACGACCCAAAGTTGTGGTTTCCATGCGGCAAAACAACAGAAGGTGTGAAATATGACAATTCAGACTGGTCCCATTGTTCCCTGTATCGCTTGCAAGTTCCACCCTCTGGTATAGGTTTGTGAACAGAATGCATGCACAGATTGGTCACCATTGGTCGCCACTCGGAGCCAGTGACTGATTGACGCGTGAGACAAAGTGTGAAATCATGTGGTGCGCATCACTTGCTAATTCATTTCACGCGCGCGCACACGAACACACGCGCGCTCGCGCGCGAGTGCCACAAGAACAAAAAAATGAAAAGCCTCTATTTAGTTTCATGGGCCATTTAAAAAGTATTCTGCCTCAATTTGACCCCCGAAGCCTGAGTTTTCCATTTAAAAATGCAAACACTGCGGCTGCATGGGGGAGAAACAATCAAAATCTCAATTGGATCCAGTTAAAAGGTGCTATGGCTCTTGTGTTTTTTTTCCATTTTATTTTACTCGTTAGTACTTCTCAACTCCTTATTTCCCCTCTGAATAAAACATGAATTCAAACAAAGCAGGTGGTTATCTACAAAGTATGATGAAATCCAAAATATTGGATCTTTGTCCAGTGAGATGATCAAACGGGCGAGAAAAGCGACAATGCACGAAAGATGTCATCGCATTTTGAAATATAAAAACATTCCGTTACTGACCAGTCAGATTGCTCCAATCTTGTCTCTGCTGATTATGGCCACGATGGAATATGACAACATTCACAACTCCAAACATTTGCATCTCAAATCATCTTTTCCAGTTAAAATGAATGAAGGTGCCATTAATTTGTGCCAGCCCCCCAACTCCTAAAAACAAATAAGATTGTAATGTGTGTTTTAATAAAGGAATATAGGACTCCATCTTGTACTTTTTAAAATGCAACAGCAATTACACAATTAAATACAGTTGAAATGACACTGTCAACAGAAAAACTTAATCAAAGATGACTTTACATGTCCCTAAATGTATTTATGATGCGGATTTAAAAAAGTACTATTTTTTTCGAGTGCATCGGTTTTTGAAATATTTTCATTGTTGGCTATTCAACCTGGCCATTTAACTACATGTTGTAATTTATAACTTTACCGTTTCAGAAATTCCACCTGTTGCTGAACCTCACGCTTTATTCATCCATCCATCCATCCATCCATTTTCAGTTCCGCTTAATCCTCACAAGGGTCGCGGGGGTTGCTGGAGCCTATTCCAGCCGTCTTCGGGCACTAGGCGGGGGGACACACTGAACCGGTTGCCAGCCAATTCACAGGGTACACAGAGACGAACAACTATCCGTGCTCACACTCACACCTTGGAGCAATTTGGAGTGTTCCATTAAGCTGCCATGCATGTTTTTGGATTGTGGGAGGAAACCGGAGGACCCGGAGAAGACCCTCGCAGGCACGGGCAGAACATGCAAACTCCACACAGGAAGGCCAGAGCTGGGATCGAACGCACTGTGAGGTTGACACGCTAACCACTCAAACACCTGGCCGCCCTTCATAAACATTATTATTATTATGATTATTGTTAAAACCTGATGCTCTGAGAGAAAAAATTAGGGCAGATTTGGAATCAATGCCAAAGAAATCTGGAAAGTTTACTTTTGTTGACCAGTTTAGTAAACACTGTCACACTGCGGCATTGAATGATCACTGTGCTGCTCTTTTTGGTTTGCCTTCCTTCACCACCTGGTGGCATTGGAAGGGCCTCTTTACACAAAGCCGCACAAAGCCCCACAAAGCCTCACGAAGTTTGAATTTTTGCTGGCGCAGCCTCACGTGTATTTTGAAAATGAGCTGTAGTTTCACTCCTGGTATTGGACATGACACCACAGGGTGGAATTTCCTCTGCATTTTCTGGAACCTAAGCGGGTTCAATCGGTAGTCAAAGTGTTCGTGAAAAATAACTTATTTAAAAATATTTTTTAAATTTGAGAGCTAATTGCTTTCTTCTCAGGTACCAAGCGCTACAATATGAAACAATGGAGTACCATGACATTTAACAGTCTTTTTCGAACAAAAGGCCAAGTGAACTATCTTTATATAATCATAGCATGTTGCATAAATGTTTGATATGAAGCATGTATCATTTTTACCTAGTTGATTTTTGGGCTCTCATATTTTCTGACATCCACTCAAGTGTGAGTCGTCGTATTTTTTTTGTTTTTGTTTTGTTTTGTTATTTTTTTAAATGTGCTCGTTGCACAACATAGATGCAAATTAGCATTAGCCTAGCAGGACGAAAGTCGAAACTGCACTATATGCATGGATTAAATACACAATGTTTGGTTTATGTTTTTTTGAAAGTACAATAGATGGATGAAAAGCAAAACCTGTCTAAACTCTAATATGATGCAGATAACAGTTGTGCACTTCAAGATTTTCCCTGCAAACCGGATTGGAGGTTTTAGTCAGGTGATTTTTCTGTTCCCTTGTTGCCAAATATGACAACCAGAAAATCTCGCGGAAATTTTGTAGCCATTAATGTTTGCACAGTATCAATGTTGTCACTGTTGAATTTGATCAAAAACTATCAAATGCTAAGTGGTGTGAAATAGCATTGCTGTTCATGAACGCAGTCACAGTGACTGCAATCTATCCATTCATCTGTCCAACCATCCATCTATCCATTTTCTGAAAGATACCTATTTTTACTTCTTTTTTTTTTTCAGATTTATTTTTTTTCTGCGGGAAAATCAAAGACAAGAAAAGTAGGAATGATGTCATTGCAAGGCCAAAACATCAAAGCATTTATGATACTCAAGAGCAGGGTTCAATATCTTAGAGCTTGAGCTACTGTGGATATCAACCAGCATTATCGTCAGATATGCAAATTAGTAAAGATGGAACCTTACATGTGTAGATTGCTGAAGACATGTTTTGTTATCAAGTTCAGATGTAACAAGTTTCGCTCAGACCAAACAATTGGAGGATAAAAATGGCGAGCTGGCCCAGTGAGGGGAATTTCAAATCTGTTTTAAAAAGAAGTCCCATTGCTAATATATCAGCCAGCAATGCTGATATATATATATGTATCACAATCTAGTGCAGCAGCCAAGAAAAACTGTTGGGAGGGGAAGTTAGTTCATTTTCATGGAACAAATAAAATATAGGTTGTAAATGTGGGTCAGTGCTCACTGCAGCCCAACACTTAGTAGTCTATACCGCTTATCTGGGCTACCCCAGCGGTCAAGTGGAACAGCCTACTATGTGCATGACCAACGGCTTGGGGAGAAAGAATTTATTCCCCTGACATCCAGACTCACGGGACAACATCCATGGGCCATTTCCCAGGAAATTGCAGTTTGTAGAATCATTAGTACAATCTATGAACACTCGGATAGTCCTAATCTCTATCTCCCCGCCTCCCCCCACTTGTGCTCACAGGAAGCGCGATGGAAGGATCCCCCGCATCCCTGATGAAGTAGAGCGCTCACTCCAATATTCCGGTCCACTGCTGCCTTTTCTCGCTATCTCACAGGTAAGAGCCGAGGAGGACGTCCTAGGATTTCATCAATCACAACCAGGAAATGGAGCTTGTCATAAATACCAGCGAGAATTATTTTTTCTCTCTGCTCCATGTTGCCAAGTAAATGTCATGTATCCAGCCATATGTTAAAAAAAAGGGCCATGAGAGAACAAGTTTCATGTGCCCCAGGAATTCTGCCTAGCAACAGGTGACAGCTAGGACCTTTCCGACTGTTTGCTTGATACAGCACCACTGGACAGCAAATACTTAACTTTAAAATTTAAAATCCCATTTCTACGTTAAATTTCAATTTTTGGCATTTTCAATTTAGAAACAAGAGGTAGTTCAATGGTTCATTTAATGCGTATCCATCTTATTCCTTGGCCCCGTGAGACTGTGTGAATTAGGGCACGATTACAGCATGAAGTGGAACCTGCGTTTTGTTTATATGATAACTGGAATCCACTTTCTATGACAATTACAGACTTATGGGAACACCAGGTGTCACATCTGAAAAGAGAAAACATTTCAATTCCGCTAGCTACTACTGTAGCACGGTAGTACAGTAGGGTGACATCAACAATTTAAAAACTGTGGCTAGCGACAATGTACAGTCGCATGTTTAGCTACTTTCTGAACTCTGTCGCCTCCAACAGTCAGGTAATGAGCAATCTCAAAAGCTATGAGGCATATCACATCCTACACGGCAATAACGTTGGATGAGTTTTCTTCACAGGGGTTGGATACAATCTTATTTACCTTAAAGCAGACGTAGGACCCAGCCAAATCCTTTCATATAAAAACTGCACTACTGACCTGCATGGTAACAACATCTGCTCCAAAAAAAAAAAAAAAAGGAAAACCTGGTGCATAAGATATCCTTTATTTGTCCCACACTGGGGAAATTTACAATACTGATGATGATATGACATGATATGACATGACATGAGCATGATAACACCAACATAATATGAAGATTAAAATACAAACCTTTGAACAATTTCTTAACTTCTGTGCTAAATAATTGCATTTTTGGACACACACACATTTGAACTATTCAGAATGTTTTAAAATTCCATGTTATGGCCTGACTAATACTAAAGTATTGTGTCTCCCATGCACTTGAAAATCATACCTGTTGTTCTTGTGACACTGCTCTCAGTCTTCTAGTGACACTTGGCATATCTTCTCCGGTCGTCGTTGTAACACAGAGTTCAATATATTTGTTGCTCTGTGGGCTTTTAGTCCACAAAATGAGAGGAATACACTTCCACAGTTTAGGTGATCTCTCCAAAAAAGATTTTCAGCGCAATCCTTTTGTGTTCCCATCCCCTGAAAACTACCGATTCTCACACCAACATTCTCCCTTTGTAGAGGTTTCATGTTCACAACATTGCTCTCTGTCGCCTCAGTTTCAAGGTTTTCTGGTTGTTAGTCCACAACTGTCAGTAAATATCCATTTTCAAACGCTCCAGAGACTTATGATGGCTGAGAAAAGGACACAAAAAAATGTTCAAAATAAGGCACGCCAGGAGACGAAAGCCATTGTAATGAATGGCTTGCTTGCGGTGTCTTACACAAAGCCGCCCATCATTGTTTCTACGTCAGAGCTGTCAGGAATAAGGTGGATAGTTAAGTGCTGTATTTGTTATCGCGGCTTTTAATGAGTAGTAGTTTCCTCATCTGGCATGATTGACTGTTCCTGCCAGCTCTCTCTGTCATTGTTCTGCTGTTTGTAGTAGCAGGACCCAAAATGCTCACGAAATGTCATGCAATGTTCCCTCTAATAAAACACCAATGGATGACAAAAAATTATTCCAAACAAAAAAAAACTAAAGTGGATCAATACACATAAGTAGGCTAACCTCGCCATTAAGCCCCCCCCCCCTACCTCCATTTTGTTCTTGATATACTGTAAAACAGTGAGTCTGTACTTCATTCATTGTGTTTCTGCCATCTGTCTTTCATGGACTGTTTATGCCGGTTCTCACTCCTTTTTTTTCTTCTGTTTTTTGGAGTAAGGCCCTCAGCCGCAAGTTGCCATTAAAACATAATGCACATGAACGAAAAAATAAGGGTGGTTATCACAAATGGGTGTGTCCAAGGAAATCTGCCAATCGCAACAGGTGACAAATGTGTTCTGAACAGGTGAAATAATCCCTACTAGCGTGCTTCTCATTTTTATTATTCATAATGCTAACTATTTGTTTGTATTACTGCATTGCCACCAGATGACAAATACTTAACATAAAATAAAGAAAAGTGTCTCCATGCACCAATCCTGAAACAAAACAAAGACCATTTTGTTTGATAATTCAGATGGATGAAGCCAGATGGTTTCAATAAAGCACTTTTTACAACAGGGACATGATGAATAAATATGAATATAAAACTAAAAGGATGCACCTGTCAGTTGTTGGTACACGTGTTGCTCTTTTGAGAATATGGACCCTTAAAAACTTTTTTAATGCAAACATAATGATAAATGTATGCAGTATTAACAAGACATGAATCCACTTGGTAGCATTGGGCTAATTTGAGGTGGATTTGGGAGCATGTTGCTGCAGCCAATATCTTTACAAAATAGGAGTACACATGAATAATCAGGGCTACTTTAAAGCATAACCTCACTACTTCTAATGAAACTCAAGGTAGGCCGGATTATCTGACTGTCTCAAAATGATTATCCTGTGCGATTATCCTGTGATGTGCCAAGTGTTAAGTGTAAATTTTCCTTCCCGAACTGCTCGTAAAATGGTAAATGTTAAATATGTTTAATATTTTAATTGCAAATTGCTTTTGTCGATGGGCAGCGTAGACGTCAGACCAACCACAGATTCTCCAATGATCGCGTTGCATCGATCGATAATAAACGACAAAATAGTTGTGTTGAGTGTTTTAGTCATTTGCCCAATAAAAATGAAGACTTCAAGTTTACAACCAGAATCTAGTTACCAAGGTTATAATCAGGGTATGTGTGCATGTTTTGTATAACTGTGTGTGTGTGTGTGTGTGTGTGTGTGTGTGTGTGTGTGTGTGTGTTTGTGGCATGCATGTGGGATATATATTTTCTGTATGTTGGGCACAGGGAGGTCCTCTTTTTATGGTGTAATTTTGAAGTTTTAATTGCACAGCACTTTATGTATGAAAAGTGCTACATAAATACAGTTTGATTGATTGATTGACTTGATATGCTTACAGTTAACCTAGCTTCTTTTATCTCTTCTTGTTCCACTACAATTACTACACCTACAACTTCTTTTTCTACAAATTTTTAACAGTATCCTAAAAGGCTCAGTCTTGACAAAGAGTTATGCAAGTTGCCTCAAAAAAACAACAGCCACGCATCCCCATAAGTGTCTGTGGTAGATGTTCGCAGTGTCTGATAGGGTCTGCACACTTGTGAGATAAATATAGATGTTAAGCTCTCCAAATCAAAGGATAGGATGTGTATTTTTTCCATCTCACCCCATTAGAAATGCATTTAAGAAATAAAATTAATTCTACAGACTGTTCAGAAAGTCACTGTTCACTTTTATTTTTATTGACAGACTTGCTTCAATCCACGAGCCTACAATATACATACAATATAGAACTACTAGCAAGATGTGAATACTGTATAGCCTCACTTCACTACTCCGCCCGTAGCCCCAAGAGTCTCTGGCTAAAGCCACGCCCCATACTAACGAACATGAGCATGGTTCTCAAACATGGCCATTTATGATGTGATGAAAGTGTGTAGTTCTCCTAAACAGTCACAGAATGGCTTAAATAAAACAGCAGTGCTGGCAATATTAAATGAATATTATATGGTGTAAACAAGCCGACAGTAGCCAAAGCTGCTACAGTGCTAGCATGACTTGTTTCTCCGTATAACACTTTGGGCACACACAGCGCTGTGTAACTATGTGCATGGGTGGAATTTTCTTTCTTTTGTTTTTTCCTCGGCTTTGTGCAGCTAGAACTTGTGCGCCATTGCGAGATAGAATGTAGCCTACTCCGAACCAATAGTAGCGGCATCCCTCATTTGCATTAAAATCAAGGTGGTTGAAGGGCATGCCATGCTTGACATTGTGGAAACAGAAATACACTTGCTGGGGTCTATGTATGACATTGGTGTGCGAAAAAATGTGTTTCTATACGTGAACTGCAAGATCTCCCCTTGTGGATGATGCAACTGGCCGCGCATGTGACGTGGGCAAGTGGATACTGCCTTGCACCCTCGATCGTGCGTGTGTGAATCCCCCACCCCAACAGTTTTTGCGGTACTATGACAATATTTTTGAGATGATCATGATTATATTTTGTTCAATGAAAAAAAGGTGATGAACTTACCTGTTTGGCAGAAATGTCACTAGTTCTGCATTGTTTTTCAATGCTCTCATCTTGAGGACTCTTCACTCTGCTTCTCTTTGCTAGTTTTTCTCAGACGCAATGAGAGGCACGAGATAGAGCCAGAGGAGGCAGACATTTTTTTTTACAGACATTTTACTCTTATACTATCCCGGCTGGACTACTGTAATGCAGTCAGCCAATCCTCCATTAAGCGTCTCCAGTTGGTCCAGAATGCTGCTGCTCGCCTCTTGAATGGTACTCATAAGAGGGAGCACATAACTCCTACTCTGTCATCCCTGGCCTTATACATTTTAGAGTTCTTTTTAATATCCTATTATTTGTTTCCAAATCTTTAAATGGCCTCGCTCCACCTGACCTCTCTGAGCTCTTCCGCCCCTACACACCTGCCTGGTGCTTCAGGTGTGTGGACCAGATACTATTAGATACTATACTATTAATTCATCTTCAAAACTCATTTGTATTCTTTGGCTTTTGACTCAGCATGACTCGGACTTGATCTTAGTTTTACTGTTTTTGTGCTTTCTACTGTCTTCGTTCTTAATTTATTGTTTTATTGTTGTATATATAATATTTGCTCCATGTACAGCACTTTGTATACAGCGGTGGTTGTTTTAAAGTGCTCTATAAGTACAGTTGAATTGAGTTGAGAGGTCACC